TAGTACTTAGAATACCTAAAGCCACTAGTACGCATAGCGCTTCAGGTAAGGTGAGGTACGTGGCGAAAAAAATCCCTTAGACTAAAACTTAATAGTAATCGAGCTTAAAGTATTAATTGCGTTGAAAGAAAAAATAAAAGATAAGAAAAGGGGGGGGGGAACATTGTATAAAATAGCCAATATACAAGTTGGTCAACAAACAGCATTGTTTAAAAATAGTAAGACGTGGGTTGACATTTAGGGGTAAGGTAGGTTACATGGAGTTAATTAGGTAGTACTTAGTTTTCATCTTAAACTGGTTGAGAGAGGTACAGCCTCTGACATGATTGGGAAGGCCATTCCACATTCTGGGTCCCTTGATTTGTAGAGCATTTCTAGTTTGATTAAGTCGTATTCTTGGAATATCAAATAGGTATTTGTTTCTGGTGTGGTTCCCATGGGTTATGTTACAACCGTCTAAGAAGCATCTACGGTCATGATTGACATTACAATTCAGAGTTTTAAATATATAGATTACATATGAGAGGATATGCAGTGACTTAATATCCAACATATTCAGAGATAAGAGTAAGGGTACCGAGTGATGTCTGGGGCCAGAGTTAGATATTGTTCTAATAGAAGCTTTGTGTTGGGTAATTAAAGAACGTAAATGATTTTGGATAGTAGAACCCCAAGCACAAATACCATTGTTGAGTTAAGGATAGATGAGAGAGTAATAGAGCGTCACCAGGGCAGGGCGAGGTATATAATATCTGATCTTGGAAAGAATGCCAACAGTTTTAGAAACTTTTTTTTACTATATTTAGAATGTGTCCCTGGAAATTCAGCTTGTTATCGACGAGGACACCAAGAATTTTACCATCAACTTTACTACTGATTTGTATATTGTTTATTCTTAGATTAATTTCATTTGAGGATTTATTACCAAACAAAATATAGAAAGTTTTGTCAGTGTTAAGAGTGAGTTTGTTATCAGTTAGCCAAAGATGGACTTTATTTAGTTCAGAATAAACAGTGACATTTAGAGCAAGAGGGTCAGGACTGGAGAAAAGGAAAGTTGTGTCATCAGCAAATAAGATTGGTTTGAGGTCTATATTGAGAGAGGTGATCTTTATTCTACTTTTAATTATTTCTATTTTTTGTGTACTTGCATTTATTGTTGTGTTCTGCTATAATAATTTTCTATTTACAGCAGATTTAGTATTTATGTAAACATCTACCTCAGTGTCATAGAAACATTTTACTCATAAATATAATCCTACCCTCTTATTTTTTTTTATTTTATATTTAATTTGTAATTTGATTTACATGTCATTTATTGAAATTAATTATTGAGCTCATTTTGTTTTCTTAAGTTCATACTAATTATAGATTCATAACTCTCTTGAGGTTATCTTGAGATGATTTCGGGCCTTTGGTAGAGAAGGCCATGCCGTCCGTACCTGTCGGCCAATGCCTCGCCACAAATACACCTGTATTCAGTGTAAATTGGGGCAGCGAGACAGAGAACCACAGCAATTCGGAGAGCCTGCGGTGTGAGACGAGTGCCAGTTGCTGACATTGGGGTTGCTAATAGGAAGTCCCCTGCATGAGGAGCTGCTACAGCTCTAAGTCGGGCAGTATCATGTGGCGTTATCGTAGCTTCTAGTATTGTCGCAGCTTCTTGGTCGGCAATGGGCCGATCCCAGCTGGATTGCTTATGGGCTTCAGAAAGCAGTGGTTGGGGTGCTGGTCCTGCAAGAGAGACCCATTTGGTGGTGAAGTCTTTAAAGCTGGGATCATGTATCCCTGCCCGTTGACCTAGGTGCTCAGGTAGGATTTCCTTCACCAAGTTGTCAGACTTATATAGTTATCTATATAGAGTTGTCATATTTGTCATTAACTTGTATAGTTGTAATTGTCATTAACTTGTGTGTATATATATATATATATTGTCGGGGTGTCTCTCTCTCTAGCCAGTCACTACCAAGTATTAGTAGTGATAAACGTTACTTACTATAGCTCCCACAGATCTGCACTCGATCCTCACGGTGCCACTGTTCACCAGGAGAGTCTCTCAGTCTGTCTCCGGCTGGCCTCGTAGCCTAAAGACGAGTGTGAACATGATCACTTCACTTGATCATGTGCCCGCCCCGACAGAGGGCTCTACCGCTCACTATAGGTCGCCAACTGGTGTTTACCATGTCCAGTAACACTTCAGTGGAATAATAGTAATATAGTAGTGGCCCCAGGGAATACTAATCAATTTGGTAACAGGTAAGTATATGTTTAAATTACTCACTCTTAGATAGTCTCAATAGCAGCAAGGTAATGGAGGGTTACCTTACCTTGAGGTTACCTTGAGGTGCTTCCGGGGCTTAGCGTCCCCGCGGCCCGGTCGTCGACCAGGCCTCCTGGTTGCCGGACTGATCAACCAGGCTGTTGGACGCGGCTGCTCGCAGCCTGACGTACGAGTCAGGCTAAAGAATCATAACTCTGCATCAACAACATGGCAAAGGAATAAATGAGCAGCCTTCTCTCCGCCCCTTCACAATTCTGGAACACTCCGGGAATGGCAACACTCCCAGTTGACATGCGTTCCCACGCTCCACATGCAGTGTTATCGAACGTTTGGCAACTCGCGAGATGTCACGCCCCCTCACACTCCTCACTGTTCCTCACACTATTCACTTCCTCACTATACTCACACTATTGGCATGAGGCGCCTATTATTCCCTCGTATTCACAGTATATCACAACACTGGCATAATCACTGTTAACTGTGGTGTTTGTGTGTTGCTGAGGAAGTCTTGGTTGTAGGGTTGACATAAAGCCATTGCTTGGTTACTGACTTTAATACTTAAGATGATACATGACTAGCAGCTTCCAAGCTTGGCGGGCGTCCTGTACCCTCTTTGTTTACCTTCCTTCTCGGCTTCTGAGCCGCCGCACATAGAAAACGGATGGTACCATTTTCTGTGAACATGACATCCTTCCTTTTCCTTAAAAAAGAATGAATACAGGATGTCTACCATGCTTGTAGCACAAAGCAAAGTTATTGACACAAAGTAAGTTATTAACATATCAAGAGATATTGCATACCTTTAACATTAATTAAGCACACAAAGAATTTAGACAACTTAATCTTTACCACAAAGGATTTCAATGTTAAAAATACATATGCAATGTTAAACAAACATCAAAGAAACTGTAATACAAGGTTACAAAATATTGAATGAGAAATCTGCATTATTCAAACAATATTAAATTTAGTTCAGCATAACAAGTAAATACTTTGCATTACATAGGAACACAATTAATCATCAAACCGTGTAGGGCGTTTTGCATGACGTTTAGGATGAGAGTCCCCAAATACAAGAACATCCCTTGATGAATTGTTTGTCGGGTTATAAGTCATTTTTTCTTTTTCCTTTGTGCGACTTTGCACTTCATCATTTTCTACACTAGTTGGAATCACTTTGAAATAAGCCATATTACGTGTTATACTATGATCTCTATTACATACGGCATATCTAGCTTTCCCTCTTTTTTCTTTTTAACTAGAACAGTGTCTCCAACCTTTATGAATTGTTTCTTTGCACGTTGATCATGAGCAATTTTCATTTTGCCCTTGGCTAGTGCATCCTTCTCAGCGAGACGTTTAAACGTTATCTTGGCTGGCATGACAGGTAGTGCGATTCTCATAGGACGTCCAAATAAAAGTTCAACCATGCGACTTGCCCAGTGTTCCATGTGGTGATGCACGGTAGTTCCTGAGAAAAGCATACATAGCTTGTTTCCAGGATCGTCATTTGGCATTAGCACAGCGTACAGCTTTCATGAGAGGTTGCATGAATCTCTCGACTTCTCCATTTGCTTGAGGATGTAGTGGCATCACACAGCGGTGTTTGAATCTAACATGCTCAGCAAAGTTGACGAAGTCTTGTCCATTGAATGGCGGTCCATTGTCCGTCTTGACAACTTCAGGAATGCCAAAATTTGAAAAGATCTTGTCGAGTTTCGGGATGACAGCCTTTGCAGATGTGGAAGTGATGATTTCTACTTCTGGATAACGTGAGTGATCATCAATGACTACCATCAAGTACTCTCCAGTTGGTAGCGGTCCGCAGAAGTCCATCGATACTTCCGTCCATGGTGCAGCAGGTAGTGGTGAAGGTTGTAGAGGTGTTGGTCTTGAAGTATTCACTGCAGCTTGGCAAGGGACACAGGCATCATGCATATCCTTTGCTTGACGATCAATGCCAGGAAACCATACCTTTTCTCGTAGCAGCTGTTTGGTCTTAACAAGACCTTGGTGTCCTTGATGTGCAAGCTTCAGAGCACGTTGCTGGAGAACAGCTGGAATGATGATACGAGTACCTCGCTGCACAGTGTCGCGTTGTTGCGTAACACTTAATTCTGTCTGGATGCATTCAAGCGCTTTGAATGCATCTTGGTCAACTCCTGAGGGTGGGATGCGTGGAAACTTTTTCTTAGTCAATGCATCCACTGTTGCTTGCAGAGTTGGGTCCTCTAGGGTTGCAGTACGGATTTCATCAAGAGTTGTTGAAACCGTGGCTTGTTCGAGTGGGGACGAAACGGATGTTTGTTCGAGTGGGGACGAAACGGATGTTTGTTCGAGTGGGGACGAAACTGAAGGTTTTTCGAGTGGGGACGAAACTGAAGTTTGTTCGAGTGGGGACGAAACGGAAGCTTCCTTGAGAGGGGACGAAACGGAAGCTTATTCGAGTGGAGACAAAACTGATGAAACATTGACTTTCGACGAGTTACATTGGATAATCAATTACTTATGCCGTAGTGGTTACGATACCGATTGTAGTGATGGAGAAGCTGTGGTTTGCTTGAGTGGGGACGAATTGGAAGCTTATTCGAGTGGGGCCGAAACTGAAGCTTG